AACTATGGTACATACACACAATGAATGCTATGCAGCACTAAAGAATAATGTAGAGTCTGCAAAACACTGCATAATGATGAACTTGGAGGACATTACTCTGAGTGAAATAAGTAAGTCACAGAAGGACAAATATAGTATTGGTTCATTGTTGTAGAGGGTCAATGAGAGGTTTATTTATGGAGGAAAACTCTTTCTTGGTTGCCAGGGGGGAAGGGAGGGGAGGGAACACTGCCAAAAAAAAAAAAAAAAAAAAGTACATTGACCTATGTCACTTTAGTTTTGTATATTTCAGTGTACATAAATTATATTTCAATAAAATGCATTTATAAAAAGTTACCCAATTCTTTACTACAAACACAATAGATGACTAGAAGTTTGGAAATCACCACCATCAGTATTAGCCTGTGGAGACAAGAGGGGATGTTAAGTACACAAGTATACATTATTGTGTGCCGTGCAGTTGATTGTGATTTAACTACCCTATATGACAGAGTAGAACTGCCCCATAGGATTTCCTAGCCTGACGTTTTACAGGAGCAGATCACCAAGTCTTTACTCCAACAGAGCTGGTGGGTTTGGTTAACCAGCCGGGTGCTTAACAATTGTTCCATCAGAGCTTGTTACCTCTATATGAGTGGTAGAGTCCTTGGGCTACACAAACAGTTAATGCTTTATAGCTACAAAAAAGGTGGAGGTTCCAGTCTACCCAGAAGCACCTCAGAAGAAAGGCCCGGTGGTCTATATCCAAAAATTCAGGCATTGCAAACCCTTTGGAGCACAGTTCTGTGACACACAATTGGGTGAGTCAACTCTATAGCTACTAAAACTCTAGGAGCAGAATTAGAGAAATACAAGACCATTTAAATGTGGTGGCAAGGATGCATTAGAGGGAATAAAGATGTGAGAAAGTAGGAGATGACAGAGAAAGTAGGATAGGATGACAGGCCTCAACCCCAGAGGCAGAAAAGGGAGGGGAATGCTGGGACAACAAATGCTACAGGATCCATACAAGGGGAAGGAGACAGACCTCGCCCCCAAAGACAGGAAAGGGAAGAGAACACCAGGATGACAAAGCTGCAGGATCCAGGTAGGTTTCAGGTAAGGGGAGGCCAGAGAGGTTTTGAACAGCTAAGGGAGACTAACATCTGTCAGTTTGTCTTACTGTGGTGGCTTGCACATTGCTGTGAGGCTTGAGGCTGTGCCATGGGTGTTTCAAACACTAGCAGGGTTGTACATGGTACACAGGTTTCAACATAGCTTACAGACTGAAGCAGACTAGGAAGAAGGAAGAGGCCCTCCACTTCTCAAATAATTGGCCAGGGAAAACCTTATGAATAGCACAGAAACACTGTCTGATACATTACTGGGCAACTTTATGAATAGCCTGGAAACATTGTCCCATACAGTGCAGGAAAATGAGCCCCTTAGGTCAGAAGGCACTCTAAATACGACTAGGAAAGAGGTACCTCATCAGAGTAGAACCAACCTTACTGATATGAATAAAGTAAAGCTTTCAGGATCTCCACTTGCTGACATGGCACAACTCAAATTGAGAAGAAACAGCTGCAAACATCCATTAATAATCAGAACATGGAATGTATAAAGTATGAATCTAGGAAAATTGGAAGTTGTCAAAAATGAAATGGAAAGCATAAAGATTGATATCCTAGGCATCAGTGAGCTGAAATGGAGTGGTTTTGGCCATTTTGAATCTGACAACCATATGATCTATTATGCTGGGAATGACAATTTGAAGAGGAATGGTGTGGCATTCATCATCGCAAAGGATGTTTCAAGATCTGTCCAGAAGTACAAAGCTGTCAGTGATAGGATAATATCCATACACCTACAAGGAAGACCAGTTAATACTATTGTTATTCAAATTTATCCAACAACCACCAAAGCCAAAGATGAGGAAATTGAAGATTTTTATCAACTTCTGCAGTCTGAAATTGAGCGAACATGCAATCAAGATGTGTTAATTATCACTGGTGAGTGGAATGCAAAAGTTGGAAACGAAGAATCACCAGTAGTTGGAAATTTGGCCTTGGTGACAGAAATAACACTGGAGATAGATCGCAGGATAGAATTTTGCAAGACCAATGACTTGCTCTTTGCAAATATCTTTTTCAACAACACAAATGGTAGCTATACACGTGGACTTTGCCAGATGGAGTACACAGGAATCAGACTGACTACATCTGTGGCAAGAGGCAATGGAAAAGCTCAATACCTTTGACCAAAACAAGGCAGGAGCTGATTGTGGAACAGACCATCAACTGCTCATATGCAAGTTCAACTTGAAGTTGAAGACAATCGAAACAAATCCACAAGAGCCAAAATATGACCTTGAATATATCCCTCCAGAATTTAGAGACCATCTAAAGTACAGCTTTGATGCAATGAACACCAATGACCAAAAACCAGAAGAATTGTGAAATAACATTGAGAACACCATCCATGAAGAAAGCAATAGGTCATTAAAAAGACGAGAAAAGAAAAAAAGACCAAAATGGATGTCAGAAGAGACTCTGAAACTTGCCCTTGAGCAGAGAGTAGTTAAAGCAAATGGAAGAAATGACAAGATAAAAGAGCTGAACAGAAGACAAAGCCAATTACTATAATGAAATGTGCAAAGACTTGGAGTTAGAAAACCAAAAGGGAAGGACACACTCGGCATTTCTCAAACTGAAAAAACTGAGGAAAAAATGTAAGTCTCAAGTTGCAATATTGAAAGATTCTATGGGCAAAATATTGAATGATGCAGGAAACATCAAAAGAAGATGGAAGGAATACACAGAGTTACTGTACCAAAAAGAACTGGTCTATGTTCATCCATTTCAGGAGGTGGCATATATTCAAGAACCAATAGTACTGAAGGAAGAAGTCAAAGCTGCACTAAGGAATTGGTGAAGAACAGGGCTCCAGGAATTGACAGAACACCCATTGAGATGTTTCAACAAACAGATGCCATGCTCAAGGCACTCACTGAGTTATGCCAGGAGATTTGGAAAACAGATACCTGGCCAACTGACTGGAAGAGATCCATATTTATACCCATTCCAAAGATAGGTGATCCCACAGAATGTGGAAATAATCAAACAATATCATTAATATCACATGCAAGTAAAATCTTACTGAAGATAATTCAAAAACAGCTGAAGCAATATATTGACAGGGAACTTCCAGAAATGTAAACTGGATTCAGAAGAGGACGTGGAACGAGGGATATCATTGCTGATGTCAGATGGATCTTGGCTCAAAGCAAAGAATACCAGAAAGAAGTTTACTTGTGTTTTACTGACTGTGCAAAAGCATTTGATTGTGTGGATTATAACAAATTGTGGATAACACTGAGAATAATGGGAATTCCAGAACACTTAATTGTACTCATGAGAAACCTGTACATAGACCAGGAGGCTGTCATTTGAATAGAACAAGGGGGCACGGCATGGTTTAAAATCAAGAAGGGAGTGTATCAGGGTTGCATCTTTTCACCATACTTACTCAATCTATATGCTGAGCAAATAATCCGAGAAGCTGGACTATATGAAGAAGAACGTGGCATCAGGATTGGAGGAAGGCTCATTAACAACCTGAGACAGGCTGATGACACAACTTTGCTTGCTGAAAGGAAGACTTGAAGCCCTTACTGATGAAGATTGAAGACTACAGTCTGTAGTATGGATTACATCTCAATATAAAGAAAACAACAATACAACTGGACCTATAAGCAACATCACGATAAATGGAGAAAAGATTGAAATTGTGAAAGACTTCACATTGTTTGGTTCTACAATTGATGCCAATGGAAGCAGCAGTCAGGACATCAGACGATGTATATAGCACTGGGCGAACTGGCTGCAGAAGACCTCTTTCAAGTGCTGAAGAGCAAAGATGTCTCCTTGAGGACTAAGGTGCCTCACACAGGCCATATTTTCAATCGCCTCGTATGCATGTGAGAGCTGAACAATGAATAAGGAAGACCAAAGAAGAACTGATGCTTTTGAGTTGTACTGGTGAAGAATGCTGAAAGTACCATGGACTACTAAAAGAATTAACAGATTTGTGCTGAAAGAAGTGCAGCCGGAATGCTCCTTGGAAGCGAGAATGGCCAGACTTTGTCTCACTTACTTTGATCATGTTATCTGAAGGAACCATTCCCTGGAGGATGTCATGCTTGGTAAAGTGGACGGTCCACGAAAGAGGGAAAGGCCCTTGACAAGATAGACTGACACAGTGACTGTTAAGCATGGGCTCAAGTATAGCAGGGATCGTGGAGCTGGCGCGGGACTGGGAGTGTTTTGTTCTGTGCATAGGGTCGCTATGAGTCAGAGACCACTCGATGGCACCTAACAACAGGATAGGATGGGATGGATCATAGGCATAAAGAACGTAAGGCAATCTACATCCGTAAAGATTTACCGCCTCCGAAACTCAATGGGGGTTGGTATAAGTCAGAAATGACTGGATGGCAGTGAGTTTAAACCCAGCAGTAGCGCGTGCTGAGCACTCCAGGGGCTCGTCAGTAATAATGTGAGGGCGGGGGCTTCAAAGCTCGCGGGGTAGGCCACCATGGCGCTGACGTCAGCGCAATCGGGAGGGGGTGGGGGGAGGAGAACCATCACAGTTTTAAACCGCGGCTCAAGCTGCGCAGGCGCTTTAGGGAGAAAGGCTTGGCATACTTCAGCCAATGAAAGCGCCGATCTGCGGCCCCATCCAGGTTCCTGGACTCACCTCTCACGACCCGCCGCTTCCCCGGGCGCTGAATGGAGCAGTGCGTCCCCTACTGAGATTTCAGGGGTGGGGATGCAGAGAGCACTATGGGTACGAGCCTGTCCGAATCTGTCGCAAAGCGGAGCAAGGGCAGGTGGGAGCGCCAGGCCCTGCGCCTCGAGCTCTTTGGCTGGGTTGGGGCCTTGATGCGCATGCGCCCCTCCCGCGCGCTCCCGCACAGCCCTGCGGGAGGAGCGACCGTGCTTCATTCTGGTTTAGGGTGGGAGGTGGAGCAGATCGGAGAAAGCCCTGGCGTCGGACTCCTGCCAGAACTGTAAGGAATTGAAGGGGAGGGGCTCCAATTGTGCTTTCAGGCTCTTCTGAGGGGGGAAAAGAGGGGTTGGGGGAGGCTCAGAGTCACCTTAGCCCGACGTGTTACTTTTATACTGAGGCATTGTCAGGGGCCGAAGTGTCCGCATCACATCTATTTTAACTCATTTTGAAATAAGATACCAAAGACAATTTAGGTTTTATTGTTCCCATTTATAATATTTCCCGAAATCATTGACTTAGGAAAAACCTTCCAAAATTGTTGTGATTAAAACTCATAGCAAAAGATTTAGGAAAGGAAGCTCCAGAATCTAGAGATTTCGCCCTTGTTTGCCTTAGGCACTACGCTACCAGAGCTCCTACATTTTATTGTTAATATACCTAGTATCACTTTCTGCTTTTGCTCTTTTCCTTGCCTTTCTCCCTTGTGTAAGTTAAATTGCCTGCTTTTATTCCTATTTGATGGAACAAACCACTTTCAAAAGCCTTGCAAGCTAGGAATATCACAGTTATATGAGTTGCTTGAGGTTTTTAACTCTGATAAATTCCTTCTAAATAAAAATTGTGCTTAGATGCCCAAAGATCAATCCGAGGACTTCTACTTGGTAACACTGTTAGTAACTGTTTCTGTATCTTTTGAAAATAATTTAAGCAAAAAAAAAAAATTAAAATACATCATAATTTGGATTTTTCTCTTATTTAGGTATCACTTTCCAACAAATTTCATTTGCAAGTTTGCACAGAACATATATGCACAGAATTTAGGTTAAAATCATAAATTTTCCTCTTATGAACAGTCAACGTTAAGTGAATTAAAGTATCTATTTACAATGATTTGTAAACAAATTGTAGTCTTTTTCCATCATTCAGCCGCCTTCCAGGGAAGACACTATCTCCACTAGCACCTGGGAGTTTCCCATAATGCTTTGTGCATATCTGTATCATTGCGTTTACTGCATTGCTATATAATTATCTACTTGTGTCTGTTTTCTCACTCACTCTCCCTCTCTCCTAGACTGAGGTTTAGAAGGCTGGCATTGTCCTCGTGTTTTTCTATTCCCAGTGCTTTGCATAGGGTCTGGCACATAAATGCACACTTAGTAAATGCCTGTTAATGAATTGAGTTAATCAGTTGAGAAATCAGTTGCCTTCCAAGTTTGACCAAGACAATGGTATAAAGTTAACTTATACTGTAGTATGCCTAAAGCCTTTTCCAAATGGAATCATAGTGGGCCACATGGAATATTGGCAAGAATTGCCCATCTAAGAACTCATTAGAAGACAAGAAACCTGCAGTTGATGTGGGTGTACTAAGTTTCAGAGGTAGTGTCACTAGCAATTGAAAGTACCCAACTCTACTCTGAAGCAGCGTTATCTTCAGTCTGCTGAGACTAATTTTATTTTCTGTGTAGCTAGTTCTGTATGGTAAGGAGCCCTGGTGTTGTAGTAGTTAAGGCAGTTGGTTGCTAAACAGAAGGTCAGTGGTTCAGGCCCACCATGGGAGAAAGATGAGGCAGTCTGCCTCCATAAAGATTTATAGCCTTGGAAACCTGATAGTGGTTGTTATGAGTCAGAATCGGCATGATGGCAATGAGTAGTTTATTGATGGCAATGAGTAATTTATTTTGGGTTTTTTTTTTTTAGTTCTGTATGGCAGGGAACAGTGGATCTGAGAATCATTTGCTTGTCTAAAGAATTATATTTCTCATAGAGAATGTAAAAGTTGACATTCTAGTTATCACACTCCCTCTTGATTTAGTTTTCTTAGGATCTACTTATTTCTTAATATATCTATATCTATCTATCTTCAGTTCTTGATTGTGCAGAGTTGAGGACTAACCCAAGATCTGTGTCACATGGGGAGCCAAGCAGCCATGACTGCCAACAAGCTAGTAGACTTTAACATTCTTTCCAGTTAGAATTTGATTTATTTATCTCAAGAAGGGAATACATCATAAAGGAAGCAAAGAACTAGTTGAAATAACTCTTGTTTGATTTTTGTAGTATACAAATGAGTATCTCAGAATACTTCCCTAAGTTTATGTCATCATCCATCACCATTGAGCTGATTCTGGCTCATGGTGACCCCATGTGTGCAGAGTAGACCTACCTGCTCCTGAAGATTTTCAAGTCCGTGACCTTTAGGAAGCAGATAGCTAGGCCCGTCTTTCAAGGCGTGCCTGGAAAACTGCCAGCCTTTTGGCAAGTAGTCAAGCACTTAACCATTTGTGCCACCCAAGGACTTCTAAGTTTATATTAAATGAGTTTTTTTTTTTTCTTTTAATTTTTATTGTGATTTGGGTGAAGGTTTACAGAGCAAGTTCACTTTCCATACAGCAGTTCACATACACTTTGTCTCATGGCATTGACTGCAGTTTCCCACAGTGCAACAGCTCCCATCCTACTTCCTCCCCATAGTTACCTCTTCCCTGTGTCCTTCCCTCCCAGGTACTCCTGCCCCCTGAGCTGTCTCCCTGTATATACATGTTGTTGTTGTTGTTGTTATATGCCGTCGAGTCAGCCCCGACTCATAGCGACCCCTCCTTGGGTTTCCGAGGCAGTATCACTACGGAAGTAGGATTGCCCAGCCTTCCTTCTGAGGAGTGGCTGGTGGGTTTGAACCACCAGCCTTCTGGTTAGCAGTCAAGTGCCTTAGGCACTATGCTACCAGAGCTCCTTGTATATACATAGCCCTTCTATTCTCCCATGATTGATCTCTCCAAGGAGTGTATCTACCTAGTGTAAATGTTCAGCTCATTTGCTTGTCTTTTGTTTGGCTGGAAGCCACAGAAGTATATTCAATTCCAGACCTGAGGGGCAGCTGGGTCCATAGTGTCAGTGGTTCCACCAGGCTCTATCAGACCATCAAACCTGGTCCTTTTTTTTTTTTTTTTTTAATGATTTTGAGTTTTCTTCCACATTGTTCTCCCACTCTATCCCGGATCTCCTACAGATCTCCTACAGAGATCTCCCCTCCAAGTAGTTGACAGTGGTAGACGGGCACCATCTAGTTCTTCTGGTCTCAGAGTCATATAGGCTGAGGATCACATGGTGTACCAGTTGCTTGGATGAATTGTTTCCATGCGTCTTTGGTTTTCTTCATTCTTCTTTGCCCTGGACGAGGAGAGACCCATTGTGACATCTAGATGGCTGCTTGAAAGCTTTTAAGATCCCAGATGCTCCTCATCAAAGTAGGATGTGGAACAGTGTTTTTGTGTAGTACATTATGCCAATTGAGTTTGATGCCCCCTGTGACTACGGTACAGAGCCCACAGGTCCAACTACTTGTTCCCTTTGGGTAGCTGGCTGAGACCAAGAAGTGACTACAACCTTGTCTCTTGTCATTTCTACTATATATCTGGAAATTCTTACAAAGCATACAAACACACTTGTAGAACCATTGTCTGCCAACCCTATTCATGGTTAAACAAGTATTTTTTAAAAATTTAAACATTAAAGTTTTCTAACAGACACCTCAGAATCTTGGATGGTGATAGGGTCAGAAGAATTCCCTAAAGCAGTGGTTCCCAAACTTGAGCGTGCATCAGAATCCCCTGGAGGGCTTCCTAAAATACAGATTACAGGGCCCTACCCAGAGTTTCTGATTCAACAGGGCTGGGGCCTGAGAATTTGCATTTCTAACAGGCACCCAGGAGGGAGCATTGGCAGTTCAATGTAGCTCTCACCTTCCGTGCAGGAATACCTGGGTTTGGAGATACGAGCTCTGGTAGCATAGTGGCTAAGGCACTTGACTGCTAACCAGAAGGCTGGCGGTTCAAACCCACCAGCCACTCCTCGGAAGGAAGGTTGGGCACTCCTACTTCCGTAGTGATACTGCCTCGGAAACCCAAGGAGGGGTCACTATGAGTCGGGGCCGACTCGATGGCAAACAACAACAACAAGGTTTGAATCTAGCCATTTCACCTCATAGGCAGCCACCACCATCTATCAGTGAAGATTGAATGTTGCTGTGATGCTGAACAGTTTCAGCAGAGCTTCCTGACTAAGACTGAAAAAAGGCCTTGCAATCTACTTCTGAAAATCAGTCAGTGAAAACCCTGTAGATCACAATGGTCCAGCCTCAACCAATCGTGGGAAAGGCATAGGACTGGACAGCGTTCTGCTACATTGTGCAGCTCATGTGTCCCCATGAGTTGGGGGCTGACTTGAGGGCAGCTAACAGCAATAAGAAGTTCCCAGTGATGCTTTTGCTGTCTGAGAACCACTGTTCTAAAGGTTCTCTTTTTCCTTCTCTTTCTTTCCTGTTTCTTCTTCCTTTTCTCTTTTCCAAATCTGATTGCACCCTCTCTGACAATCTCTGTCATTCTGCTGGAAATATAAAACATTCTTCATGTTGTGGTTTCTTTTAATGATGTCAGATTGTGCTCTTAAAGGAGAGCATTAAAAACTCAGAAGACTCCTAGGACTCCGAGGGGAAAATGACTAGGCTTCTTCAAGAAAACTGGAAAAAATTCAGGTATCCCTTGTTTGAAAATGCACTTTTATTTTTTTCCAAAAGATATTTCAAGATTTTTCTTAAAAATGCATCTTTCCATCTAGTAATGACAGTTATGCTTCATTCCATTACTGTGGTTCAAATATATTAACCACATTGTGGAAGTAGTTTTAAAAAATAGAATAGGATATTGTGTGGTGTTTTGTTTTGAAAGCAAAGCTCAGAGCTTAGGTAGGAAGGAAAAAAAGAATAGTTTGTTTACCTGCTGACTGTTGTAAATAATGTGACATTTCAAGACTTTGATAAGGAATTTCTCATAGGATTTTAAAAATCACTTGGTCGACATTAACATAAGATGTTAATAATACAAACTGTGTGCATGGATTAGAGGAACATATGGGAACTCTGTACTTTCTATGCAATTTTTCTGTAAACCTAAAACTGCTCTAAAAAATGGTGCTTAAAAAATCACTTGGCCAGTTGACATAAAGGCTGTAAACCAAAAAAATCAAATTCACTGCTGTTGAGTCGGATCCAACTCATTGCAACCCCTCCTTGGGTTTCCCAGGCAGTATCACTACAGAAGTAGATCGCTCAGTCTTCCAAGGAGTGGCTGGTGGGTTTGAACTGCCAGCCTTCTGGTTATAGTGTATTTCAATATCTTGCTAAAGATTTAAATGCTTGGAAAAGTTCATGTGATTCAAATCTCTTCACCCCTTTTATCTGCTTAACTTTTTAAGCAATTAATGGATGCCGGGAAGTTGGTGTACATATATATTCAGAAATGTTTTGCCACCTGAGACCTGTGAGGAGGTAAGTGTGGTGATTCAATCTGTAATTAGTATTGGGGGATAAAATCTGTTATGCATTTGGATCGTTTCAATTTACTGTTATTCTCAGATTCTTAAGTTATTTCATATTGTGGTGCAAAGTAGGGAAGCGTAAAGAGAAAGAAAGTCTTATGAACAACCAGGTCGTCCAAAAGTCCATGAAGAGCAGAAGGTTCGAAGAAGACTGACCATCAGAATAGTTCAGAGTGAAAAACTTAAGAGGAAAAAAAAAGTTTCTTTTTTGTATAATTTTTATCATGTTGCCCTCAAATCTGTTACTATTAGATGGGAAACATTTTGTGTTTAAATTTTAAGATCATTTCACTTCTTTATTTGCTACTTATAGATGAATAAATTGCATCTACTTCAAGAAAGGATTTAAAGAGTTGAGTAATAAAACTCTAATAGGCATATGAAAATAAATAGAAATAGAGATCAGATGCCCTAAAGAGAAAGAAGATCCTTGTGTTAACAGACAGAGCTGAGTAAACAATTACTCAAATTGAACACCAGATTTAGTTCTGACTTTTTGGTAGCCAAATCAGAAAGGGAAATAAAGTGTTCTTTTGGCTTAAAAACTAACCAACTTGACCTGTTGAATAAGAAAGAAAGGGCAAGTTTTAGATTTACAAAACAAATTTAGCAATATTAGTACCTTTAAATACTACTCCCTGTGTGAATATTAGGAGCCCTGGTAGTGCAGTAATTAAGTGCTCAGCTGCTAACCAAAAGGCAGAAAGACTTGATCTGCTTCTGTAAAGATTAACAGGATGGGAAACCCTATGTGGCAGTTCTACTCTGTCCTATAGGGTCGATATGAGTCAGAATTACTCGATGGCAGTGCTTTTGATGTGAATATTACAGAAAATAGTCACTGTTGAAAGGAAGTTCTCTAGAGAAGACAGAGTTGTTCCTACCAAGTCAATGTCTGACCAGGATTATCAAACAAAGCGGAGGTTTTCCTCTGATTGAATTTACAACATGAATTGTTAATCATAAAAATTAGATCATAACCTAGGCTATGTCTTAAAAAGTCATTCTGATGTTTATATATTGGAGGACATTTTCTTTGTTGGTTACCAGGGGTGGGAGGGAAGGGGAGGGAATGCTGTTAGATAGATAGAGATAAATATTGATTTGGGTGAAGAGAAGGGCAATGTACCAAATGTGAGTGACCAATATGGCAGCATTGAGGATGAGAAAGACAGAGAGAGTTACATGGGCAGTACAAACAACAAATATGAACCCCTTTGTAAATACAATACTGAGTTGTTAATGAAAGCAAACATGGGTATAGGGACGGATAGATGGGTGAACAAGCTAAACAATTATGTATGTCTAAATGGAGAGTGTATCCAAGATCATATACAGGGTTGGCAGACAATGGGCCTCTCGAAGAGTATGAAGGGATGGACACTGGGAGGAGGTAACTATGGGGAGGAAGTGGGAGGGGAGCTGCTGCATTGTAAATTTTGGTCAATGACATGAGACAAAGTATATGTGAACTGCTGTATGAAAAGTGAATTTACTCTGTAAATCTTCACCCAAATCCTAAAAAAAAAAAAAGTCATTCTGCTGGAGATATAAAATATTCTTCATGTTGTGGTTTCTTTTAATGATGTTTAACTACAGAGATCCAGGCTAAGCTTTATGTTCTCATGCTCCAACTTTGTAATGCATGGAGAGAATATGGGCAACTAGAGGAATGAGTTTTATAGTGTCCGGGGTGTTCCTTCAGTGATGATTGCCGCCTTGCCTTGATGCCATTGACAGGTGGTGAATGGTAGTCATTGCAGAATAGAACTGTGCTTCTTCAGCTTTTTTTTAATCCCAACACAGAGAAAGCTATGTATCTATAGCCCATATAACAAAACTTTGTAACAGTAGTTACCTTGCTACATGAAATGTCCTCTGGTATTTTCTGTTCTAGTCTCTTTTAAATGTTGGTCATGGCCTACTAAGTTGATTTCACAACTCATCAATGAATCATAAAAAACACTGCTATAGAGTAATTATAATGCACATTCTTTATTGATTAGAAATCATGTCATATGGTTTTGGTACAAAATAGATATCATATTGACATTTTGATTCGCAGAGGAGAAAGATGTGGAAGTCTGCTTCTGTAAAGATTTACAGCCTTAGAAACACTATGGGGCAGTTCAGCCCTGTTCTTTAGGGGCACTACGAGTCAGAATCGAATCTGGCAACAGGGTTATGACGGCTTTCCTTCTACAACAACAAAGTTCAATAGTTGTGATCAAGACTATCTGATCCACAAAGCCTAAAAGATGTACAGACAAAGATTGCTGACCTCTGCTGCAGTGACTCCTTCTTTTTGAAAATATAACCCTTCCCTGACATCTTTTTGTAAGCCCAGATGCTCCTGTGTTGGATTTGCTTGATTTAAAGAACACAGTAATTCTCCATGTATTTTTCCTTGAGAAGTAGTCTTAAATGAGTATCTGGTTTGCTTTCATTTAACATACATTAACAGTAACCTGTGTCAGAGCCCATGGTGTGGCCTTAAGATGCTTGTTGAGCTCTTCTTCCTCTTTGGTCCCCAACTGAATTTGCCATGAAGCCTTGCTTCTCTGGGCTGCCAGTGACTGAGCACAGCAGGGGTCCTGGCAGGTGTCCAAGTGTCTGTCAGACATTTGGAAATGAGAAGCTCACATGGAGAGTAAGTGAAGTTGTCTGTCTTTTACTTCTACTGCCTCTTACTGAGGACTGTAACGCCTGCTCTTTGTTTCTTTTACTGTTCAAACTCATGTTGTAATCCTTAAAGTACAACCCATATATTAACTTTCTGAAAGGTTAAATATATGAAAAAAAAAGGTAATCTGAGATATGTTGGTCACCTCCACATTGTTAAGTAATCTCTAAACACGAATCTGTAGTCTCTACCATTAGAAACTAATAAATCCTTTCCACAGCCTCAGTAAACCTAACGTATAAGAACAAAAGTTAGCACAGTATTTAGAGGTTTCTTTATAGACTGTTATGGAATGAAAATAATACATAACATTCAGAAATAAGTGTTAATGGAAGTGCTTCAAAAAATTGCAAGTAATTTCATTTGGATTTAAAACTGTACTTGAGAAAAACACTCTAAAGTAAGTTAAGCTAAAATTTAAGAGCATCAAGCTGTCCAACTAGCTTAATTTTAGCATGCTAGTAATGAGGAAATGAACTATGAGACATCTTAATATCACTTTGTAAACATTTAACTCCCAAAATATTTCGTGTTACAAAGAGAAAATGGTTGTGCTATGGAATATTGAGATCCTTTATCTGAAGGAGAAAATGATAGAGAAAATTGTCAGTGTTGGTTGTGAAGATAGCATTTCAAAGTGGACTTTTGAGGAAAAATATTTCATCATTTAATATTTCTTATATTGGACCAGAGAAATTTATAACCACTTTATTAAGAACCATGTAGTTCTCTCTGCTTGTTAAAGCTTTGTAAATTTCAGAAGTCCACAGAGTTCTGCATTTTGATTTTCATCTTGATTCTATACACATTCTTGTGCATATTGGGGATATGTGTGTATGTGCATGCACCTCAATGAAAAATAAGCCTACAATTTTTTTAAAGGTTATGTCTAAAGAAGGTATTTCCACACCGGTTTCTTTACTCGAGATCTTTATCGGGAGCTGAAGCAGTCAATGCCCTGAGGCCTTTCTATTTTGCAGTGCATCCAGATTTCTTTGGGCAGCACCCCAGAGAAAGGGTAAATATTTATTCTTTTTTATCTTAGTCTGCATTTCTGTTTATTTTATTTACCTTTGATGCATTATAATACAGAGAATTCTATAAATTTGCATTATTCTATCATGGTGACATCACCAGTGCTTTGTACCAATGTGAAATTTAGAGATACCGGACACTGAAACTGTAATTCTGCTTTGTTACAAAAGCAATAAAGCTTCCGTGTAAACTCTAGATTATTTAGTGATAATGTTCTTTTGGCTATTTTTAGACTCAGTTTGAGGTATTGAAAGAAAATTTAAGACCTCTGTTTACCATGGTCAGAGTCCTGGTGCCAGAATGGTTTAAGTGCTGGGCTGCTAAATGAAAGGTTGTCAGTTTGACCCTAACACCTGCCCCACAGGAAAAAGATGTGACAGTCTGCTTCTGTAAGATTATAGCCTTGGAAATCCTATGGGACAGTTCTATTCTGTTCTAAAGGGTCACGGTGAGTCAGAATCAACTTGGCAGCAATGGGTTTATTACCATGATCAGTTTTTTTGCAGATCAATTTTCAGTGCCTTCATGGTTTTCGCCGACCTCACATGCTGCTGGACCACTGCCCAGCAATATCAGTTAATGTGCTCAAGAAATGCAAAACCAGTTGCTGTTGAATCAGGTCTGCCTCATAGTCCCCTATGGGTTTTCAATGGCTGATTTTTCAGAAGTGGATCTCCAGGCCTTTTTTTCCAGGAAGCCTGTGAGTAGACTCAAACCTCCAGCCTTTCAATTACCAGTCCAGTGTGCTAATCATTTGCACCACCCAGTGACTCCAAGCCCAGTAATAGGTAAATGTTTTCCCTCTTTACCAACATATCTTTTTTGATTTAAATATGTGCTTGTAGTAAAGGGTTAACTCAACAAGGTCTGGTTGCTTAAACATTGCACATTCCAAAGCAAGGCCTGGCCTCAAGTCTGGCCCTGACCACCTCCTGGTATATCACCTTTGAACCCTTGGAATATCCTGCTTGATAACAATATGTTTACATGCCTGAGGCCTTGGACAGGCCAGGTATTTTATATTAGCAGTGTACTTTATAGTGAATACCTGTTGCTGTATGCCTGAAGCTCTGGGCCACAACTCTGTGGGTTTGACCTCAGGGAGCTAGAGAACCGGGTAGCTTAGGTCAGTCACACGGGAGCCACGTGCTTACATGACTGACCTCCAGTAAAGCCCTGGACAACAAGGCTTAGGCAAGCTTCCCAGCTTGGTAACATTTCACACTTGCTGTCACACACCATTGCTGGGAGAAATAAGCACTGTCCATACAACTGCTCTAGAAGAGGACAACTGGAAGCCTATACCTGGTGTCTCCTGAGCTCTGCCCTGTGGGCCCTTTACCTCTGCTGATTGTAATGCATATTCTTTCACTGTAGTAAACCATGAGTGTGAGTATAACAGCTTTTCTGAGTTCTGTGAGTCTTTCTAGAGAATCATTAAACCTGAGGTGTTTTGGGGGGACTACTGACACTATGCTTGTTGTTGTTGTTGTTGTTATGTGCCGTCGAGTCAGCCCTGACTCATAGCGACCCCTCCTTGGGTTTCCGAGGCAGTATCACTACGGAAGTAGGATTGCCCAACCTTCCTTCCGAGGAGTGGCTGGTGGGTTTGAACCGCCAGCCTTCTGGTGAGCAGGCAAGTGTCTTAGCCACTATGCTACCAGAGCTCCCGACACTATGCTCTGGTAAATTTATATTTTTAGTTATTCTTTCAACTTGTATTTTTGAGTGCTGACTCTGTACCAAGTCTTTGCATTAGCTGCTCCCTCTCCTTAAAGCATCTTTCCCTCAGGTGCAGATGTGGCTTGTCCTTGGCCTTTTTCTTAAGTGTCCCCTTTCAGTGAGGCTCTCCCAGACAATCCAATTTTAAATGGCCACCCCCACCTTTATTTCCCAGCATTTCCTGTCCCCCTTATCATGAAGTACCTTTTCTTTTTTTCTTTTTAGCTTTACAACATATTCTATTTACTTATTTATTAGGACCATTGTTTATTTTTCTCCTGTCACTAAAATGCAAGCTCTGTGAAGGCACTTTAGTCTCCTAATCAGCCTATGTTCAGTTCTGTCTTCTTCCCACTCTTACAAAACATACTTGCCCCTTTTCTAAGGAAAACAGACTTAAAAGTTGCATCTAGTCATAATATCAGACTCGAGAGTCCAGGATCTCAGAGTAATATACAATTTTTTAAAAGTTATTTTAAATTCAGAATTATAGGTTTCAAAAATCAAAACTAACTACACAGTTTACTTCTCTTTTACCTCATTCCTGTTTACTTCCTGTGGGAAAACATTTTTGTTTGTTTTGGTTGTTTTTTTGTTATTCCAAACATAAACGTACATCAAGAAACATACATCCAAGTTTCTGTTTTAATTGAACATGGACTTCACTAGAAACATAGGTACATGTTTCTCAATGTATGTTTATACCATGTATGATTGATTATACTATAATACTGTGATTGCTGTTGTTAGGTGCCATTGAGTCAGCTCTGACTTATAGCGACCCTATGTACAACAGAACGAAACATTGCCCAGTTGTACGCCAGCCTCACAGTCCTTGCTATACTTGAGCCCATTGTTGCAGCCGCTGTGTCAGTCAATCTCCTTGAGGACCTTCTCCTTTTTCACTGACCCTCCGCTTTAACAAGCATGATATCCTTCTCCACAGAATGGTCCCTTCTGACAACATGACCAGAGTAGGCGATACTAAGTCTGGCCATTCTCATTTCCAAGGAGCATTCCAGCTGCACTTCTTCCAGGACAGATTTGTTCATTCTTCTGGCAGTCTATGGTACTTTCATTATTCTTCACCAAAACCACAGCTCAAAATCATCAACTTTTCTTCAGTTTTCCTTATTCATTGTCCAGCTCTCACATGCATATGAGACTATTGAAAATACCCTGGCTTGGATTAGACACACCTTAGTCTTCATACTATGACTAGTTATATAATTATGGCGATTTAGTCTTACACCAGCAGAGAATGTACTTCAGTTGCTTATGGGATTCTCATGGCTAAGAAGTACATATTATAATGAATTAAACAAAAGTGAATAATGGTCATTTCTATTTTGAAGTCAAACCATGTGCCTAAGAAGAGATTTAAAGTGATGTTTTTGGTGGTGGTTGTTGTTTTTGGTGGTGGTGGTTGTTTTTGGTGATAGGTGCCATCAAGTCAGTTCCAACTCACAGTGCCCTGTGTACAACACAACAAAGCACTGTCCAGTCCCCACGATCATTGCTATGTTTGCGCCCATTTTTGCAGCCACCGTGTCAGTCCATTTCATTGAGGATCTTCCTCTTTTTTGCTGACCCTCTGCTTTATCAAGCATGATGTCCTTCTCCAGGGACTAGTCCCTCCTAATAACAAAGTATGTGATATGAAGTTTCGACATCCTTACTACTAAGGAGCATTCTGGCTGTACTTCTTCCAAGACAGATTTGTTTATTCTTCTGGCAGTCCATGGTATATTCAGTATTCTTTGCCAACACAATAATTCAAATGTATCACTTCTTCTTAAGTCTTCCTTATTCATTGTCCAGCTTTGTTGTTTTCAGTTGCCTCATACCTATGGGGCAATTGAAAATACCATGACTTGGGTCAAGCACACCTTAGTCCTCTAGGCAACATCTTTGTCACTGCTATCAAGTCGATTTGACTTGTAGCAACCCCTTCTGCGTTTCTGAGGTGGTATCTCTCTGGAAGTAGATTGCCCCATCTTCCTTCTGAGGAGTGCTGGTGGGTTTGAACCACCAGCCTTCTGGTTAGCAGTCAAATGTCTAGGCACTACACCATCAGAGCTCCCTTTTAACACTTTAAAGAGGTCTTTTGCAGCAGATATGTCCAATGCAAAATGTCATTTGATTTCTTGACTGCTGCTTCCATGAGTGTTGACTGTGGATCTAAGTAAAATTAAATCCTTGACAGTTTCAGTTTTTTCTCCATTTATTGTGATTTTGCTTATTGGTCCAGTTGTTAAGATTTTTGTTTTCTTTATGTTGAGGTGTCATCTATACTGAAAGCTGTAGTCTTTGATGTTCATCAGTAAGTGCTTCAAGTCCTCTTTGTTTTCAGCAAGCAAAGTTGAGTCTTCTACATATTGCAGGTCATTAATGAGTCTTCCTCCAATTCTGATGCAGCATTCTTCTTCATACGATCCAGGTTCTCAGATTATTTGCTCACCATACAGATTGAATGAGTATGATGAAAGGATACAACCCTGATACACACCTTTCCTGATTTTAGACCATGCAGTATCTCCTTGTTCTATTTGAATGACTATCTCTTGGTCTATGTGCAAGTACCACATGAGCATTTGCACAATTAAGTACTCTGGAATTTCCATTCTTTGCAATGTTAACCATAATACATTATGATCCACACAGTCAAATGCCTTTGCATAGTCAATAAAAAACAGGTAAACAACTTTCTGGTATTGTCCACTTTTAGTCAAGATCCATCTGACATCAGTAGTAATAGCCCCTGATCCAAGTCATCTTCTGAACCCAGCTTGAATTTCTGGAAGTTTCTCTGCTGCACATTTCTCAACATCTCTTGCCATCTCCAATAGCACAGCTCTTTGTCTCTTGCAACAGAGGGATTCAGCACAGGGATCTTGGTTCCAAAGGGCGTACTCCACTCCTGGCTCTTCCCGCCTTATGGTAATCACATCCCTCCTTTCCACCTCTGGAATGACTCCTTTTAAACCTAGCAGGATGGCAGAATTGTCCAGTCTCCACATTTGGGCACCATACACCTTAATTCCCATGTTCCCACCCCCAAAATGGTGCCATGCACCTTATTAACATTATTAGCAAGTTATCCAATCCCCTTGGTGGGCCACAAGCACCTCACATTTACACGGTCCCACCTAGTCATCTGGTGGAAGTCACAAAGACCATGGCTAGAAGGGTCATACCAAGTACTTCACTGCACTGCTGTGAGTGGTAAGAAGCACAGTTATTTTTTAAAATTATTCTTCAGTTCCTTCACCAAAGGGCTATGAGTTAACTTTTTGCCTGTGAATAATGAAGAATTAAGGACTATTTTTAATGAAACTCAAAAGCATTGGTAGATAGACAATCATTAAAGAAAGGATAGCATACTATATATGCTTTTACATGTTTCCTTTTTTACTTGACAGTATATCCTGAAATCACTCCATGTTAGTTCATAGACATCTTCTGCATCATTCTTTTTCTTCTTTTTTTCTTTTTGGCTACATGGTTCTCAGTGAATGAATTTACCATCATTAGTCAACCAATTCCTATGAATGAGCATTGTAAGATATACATATATACTATATGTACAGTATTCATATACATGCCTGGTTCCATTCTTTATGATGAGATTTTTCATCCATTTGGAGTTCACTCTGTTATGTGTTATGATTTTTCATTTTTCAAAGAGCTATGAAATCCCAACATCTTTAAATACTAAAATTATTTAATGCTCTCAGTAATGTATTAAAGAGGTCAGCTATAATTTCACATGTTTCTGTGTTGCTGTTGTGTGTGTAAATGCTCGTTGATATTTTTTTCCAGGAAGTCAATGAAAATTCTCTTAAGAGATTAAGTGTCTACTTAGAAAGCCTCCAGAAACCAGGGTTCAAGTCTTTGAAACCAACTCAGCTTACCTTTTATGTCAGAGAAACAGACCAGAATTCTTCTGATGGCCAAGAACCCTTTAGTACTTCTGGTACGTTATTTTATTTCTAGTGTGTCTCTTGCAAGTTTCATGTTAAAGTATTTTTCATTAAATTTAACAATGTCAGAATTCCCTTTGGATTGAAGCCTTGGTCACAGAAAAATAGTATCATTTAATTGATTATTTTCCTAGGACTTGGTCCATTCCTGGCTGCATGTGTTTGAAGAAGACATTTGTGTGTGTGTGTGTCTGATTAAACGTTTTTGTCTATAAAACTAAAGATATTCCTGTTTGTCTCTTTCCCGTTTCTATGTTGCTTTAAGTATTAAACATGTATTTAACAACTGACATTTCTAAAAAATACAACTTGCATTATTTTCTTTAGTCTTCAGATACCTGTGAAGTAGATAGTATTTACCCTGTTTTAACTTAGTGATGTTGAGTGACTTCCCCAAGACTCTTGAGGTAGAATGTGGATCTTGACACCAAATTTTTCAACTCCACAGAACACTTTTACTGAAGTCTATTCAACCTTAGTGTTCAGCTCTCTTTTTGGTATCATTTGTCCCTCCTTTAGCCATGATGCAGTGATACTGAAAGTAAAGTTCAGATGTTTAGGTAAAGATCCTTGAAACCTAATCATTTCTTTAGCTGTACATCCTTTTGGTGGTCCTTGAGGAAATAACCTTATTTTTGGAGCAAACGTTAAAAGAATTTAGAGATCTACTAAAAGCTTTCTGTGAGGTAATGCTAAAAAAGCTAGAAAATGCACTATAATTTTTTTAAAAAAAAGCCAACTATTGTAGAGCTCAGAATTTTATAGGTCTTTGAAAACTAGAATCTATTTTTAATTCTGCAACTGACTGACTGTGTAACCCTGACTTTTGGTTCTTCAATATATTAGAAGGGTTCTTCATATATTAAAATGAAAGCGTTTAAGTACCGTGTAGCAGCCACTCACACTGAAGGTCCCTAAATTATACCTGATGCTCACAAGGCTCTCAGGAACCGGATGGAGTAATGAAGAGCTTGAGCTAAAAAGTGCTAACATGGGATCTTTGTACTCAAGAGAATTTCCCACCCAGTCTCTCCAGGGACTCATATTTGCTAGTCTATTTTCTGCTGTCTTTTATCTTATCATTAAATATGAAAGATCAGGAATCACAAATTCCACTCCTTGACTCCTTGAATCCGAATCCAGATCCCATCAATATTCTTTAAGGATATGGAAAACCAATCACTAACTTTATGTGGAAAGGAAGGAGACCTCAGATAAGCAAAGCATTATTGAAGAAAGTAGGAGGTCTCACATTCTTGGATCTTAAAACCTCCTATACAGTCATAGTAGTCAAAACTGCCTGGTATTGGTACAATGACAGACACACAGACCAATGGAATAGAATTGAGGACCCAGAAATAGATCCATCGACCTATGGTCAACTGATCTTTGACAAAGGGCTGAAATCCATTAAATGGGAAA